GCTGCGGGAAATGGTGTCAAGAGCCTTGCTAAAGTCAATGACATCCGCTGTTCTCCCCTCCTCCACAAATTGAGTCATTTCATCATAGAAGGCAATCAGGTTGGTCAGGCACGATTTATCCTTGGTGAATCCATGCTGGCTTTTCCCAGTCGCTTTGTTCTTCTTCTTGTGCCTAGAAATGGCTTCCAAGAGGATTTGCTCCATGATTTTCCCAGGGAAAAATTGGGACTGACCAATGTGTGGTTCCCCAGGTCATCCTTCTTGTCTTTTTTTGAAGATGGGTGCAATATTTGCCTTTATTCAGTTGTTTCAGACTTCCCCTGATCTCTGCAGCTTTTGAAATTTGAGAAAATGGCCTCACAGTGTCATCAGACAGTCTCTCAGCATCTTCCTACAGATCCCATCTGGTTTCCCTGGGACTTCTATAAGCTGAGTTTTCTTAAGAGATCCCTGGCTTAATCCTCTTCCAATACTGGTAGTTTCTCTCTTCCTTGAACTCTGTAGGTACAAAGAACCACAAGACCTTGCCGGTCAAGTCAGAGCCTTATCTGCATCCACTGTCAGTAAATCACCTGACCTATTCAGCAGCTGGCACGCATTTTCATTGTTTATTCTTTTATTGCTCATGTGGTGGTAGAAGCTCTTCTTGTTGCCCATAACATCCCTTGCCAGTTTCAACACCAGGTGAGCTTGGGCTTTCCTAATACCATCCCTACATGTCCAGGCAGTTCCTCCTTAGTTGCTTTTTCCTGCTTCCACCTCCTCTATACTGTTTTTCTGCATTGACATTCAATCATGACTTCTCTGCTTAGCTCGCGGCCATCTCCTGATATGTCTGCTTGTTCTTCTGAGTTTTGTGCTTGGAGGAGGTTGTCCTGAAAGACCTACTAGCTGTCCTGAGCTCCGTTTCCCTTCAGAGCTGCCTCTCAGGGGATCCCACTAACCAGTTCCCTGAGCAAGCTGAAGCCTGGTCTCCGGCTCTGTACTCTGCTGTTTTTTCCTCACCGCCCTCAGGATCCTGAACTCAGTTATTTCATAGTTACTACAGTGAAGGCTGCCATTGATTATCACATCTTCAGTTGCTTGTTTGTGAGTAGCAAATCCAGAAGAGCATCACCCTTCACTGACCCCATAGTGTTAACAAAGCCTGGATTCCCATCTCCTTCACTTTGCCCCCAGAGCGCCGTAGTCCTGATCTGCACTAGGCGATGTCTTTGGTGTCCACGTGGATGTGCAACAATGGGTAGTGGTCCAAGGAATGGAAAATCATTGGCGGTCTCTCTGCAATGTAATGGATCGGGGCCCCTGAAAAAAAGAGACCTGTTGTAACAGCATGACGGTTTAGCAGTTGTGCACCTTCATCCTTGACAGGAGAAAAGCTCCTAGCACGGTCACCCGCCACTTCCTCTTGCTATCTGCTAATGCTCTGTTCAAGCTCAGTTGGTTTCAAAGCCTTCCTTAGAGCTTGTTCTCCCTTATTGGTTATTAGGACACTTTATCAATTCTGTAAACTCAAATCTAAGGAAGGAGTGTTTCTGCTGCTGCAAATAGTCACAAATTCCTAGCCTCCCCCATCTCAGGAGTCTCCATCAACCTCTTGCTCAAGCGTAGCCTCTGACTGTCCCTCCTACCTTCTATCATGGGGCTCAGGATCTTGCCTCTGCAAGGTCTCTGTGAAGGCACTCTCATTTCCCGGTCATCCTCCCTGATTTTTTGCGGTCTGCTCGCCTGGGATGGTTTATCCACCTAGCATTGCTATGCAGTGCACAAATTAAAAAACCTCATGGAAATAAAATTTTGGAACAGTTCATCTCCTCATTCCTTAGCTCAGTGCCTGCACCAATATTTAAGTTTGTTACCCTCTGATATAATAAAAATTGGTGGAGGAGGTTGAAGGGTGGTGAAGTTAAGAAAGAAGAATGAGCTTCCTGAAGTTTTTTCCCTCTAGGAAAAACATCTATGTATTGTTCCAGTGTTGACTGTTGCTATATGCTGCTCACAAGTCTTTTGTCCTTTTGTATAGCTGCATCTGTTCATTCAGTCTGATGCTCAAACCCTTTATTTTTACTTTTTGGCCAGCTGCAATATGTTGAGTGCTTCACGAGCTAAAAATGCTGCCCTTCCCTCTGAGGCACGCAATATATGATAATCAGGAGGAAATCAAGACAGAAAGTAGAAGTGTGAATATGGTTGCTGCAGCTGGAATCATATGGAGATAAATCTGAAAATGAGATGCAAAATAGAAAATTAGTATAAATACCTTTCATGCCAATAACAAAACAGCATGGGGGGGGTGAACTTAAAAGCAAAGTGTAAGTTAATTCAGGAGATCTCTGAGCTTACCTGCACATGTGAAGATTTTGGGGGACTATAGAATAGAACAGAGGGTAGAACTGAAGAATTAAAGAAAGAAAGGTCTTCTAGAGCAGTATTGTCTTTTCTTTTGCTTTTCTTGTTTTTGTATGAGCCTGACAATGTTACAGGATAGACAGATGACTATGGAGATGAGTGACTCTTCAAGTACAAAGGAAGTTTAGACTGTAAATGCATTTTAAGGATGGATTTAGCTGTGAAAGGAAAAGCTTGGGAAGGCCCTACAGTGCTGTAACCCCATTAGTCACAGTGGAAGAGGTAAAAGAGATTGTTAAAAAAAATAAATGCACATGGAAAAGGGATGACAGAAGGGTGAAAGCAGCAGCTGCACCCTGGAGGGAATAGGCAAGCTGGAGAAATAGGTTGCAAAAGAGAGAAGGCAATTTTTGTTGTGACTGCCCACCATCTAAATTCCCTCTCTTATCTCTATAAGCTCAATGTCGCATTGACCCTCCCTCTAGCAATCAGAGTGAGGGGAGGAGGCTTCCACACTTGTCAGTATTGGTTCTTCAGTCAGATGAGGAGGATGCACTGAGATGACACTAGTTATTTTACTAGTATGTGGGTCAAAATAAAATCTGGCAGCAAAGCTTTTCAGAGACTGGGTGAGTCCTCCCCTCTTCTGTGATCTTATTGTACAGAGTCTGCGAGGAACCTAGGGTGGTTTGTTTTCCTTATACTACTATACGGTGCAGTGCAGAAAAAAAAAATCCTAATTCTGGTGGAAATGAAAGCCTGGAAGCTTCACCTCCTCACTCCTTAGGCTGAGTGAAGGCTCACTGTATGCACCCTTGTCAGCTAATGGAAAAGTGAGTTAACTTTTTCCACCTTAAAATGCTTGCAATCACTTCTCCCCCCCCATCTAAAACAGACCTCCATGGTAGTGGAGTCTCATGCCAAGTGGGTTTTACTGAAGTTCTGTGCCAGTACATGACAGTTCCTGTGTCTTCTCCCTGCTGCATGAAACAAGAATAGTCTTTAAATATGAAAGTTAATCAAGTCTTCTTTTACTCGAAGCGGCTGTTCTTGCAAGCTAATTAAAATAATTCAGATGACTGAAAAAGATTTTAATTGACTTAGGATTGCAGTTTAGAAAAAATTCATTTCTATGTGGAAAGACTTTTTGGGGTTAAGCCAGCATCCTACCATGCAAGAGAGTTGAATTCAGCTGTTACTGTGTTATGGATTCACTTTGTAACTTTGAGAAATGCCTTCACCTTTCTGCGAAATGTCATTTTTAATGGTCCATTCTCACACTTTGTCTTGTGCATTAAAGTGAAATAAGTTCCTGCACTCAGAGGGTTCCTGTAGGTTTAGGAATCCGTCCTTGAGGCTGAGATTCTGGGCTTTGTAAGCTGACCTACTGGGCTTGTTCCGAAGGACCTGGTCCTACCTGAGCTCTTCTCCCACCTCTCCATGCCTGCTGCTCCTTTGTGCCAGCACTGGTGTCTGTGCAGCCACATGCTCATGTGATGAGGAGAATGACTGAAATGAAAATTTAGGTAGGTAGGTAGGTAGATAGATGGGTTTACAGACCATTTTCTAGGTGCGCCTCATTTCCTTAACCAAGCTCACTGGAAAGCATTGTACTAATAGAAGGGAAGGGGAGGTGGAGCTTGGCTGGGGTTGGATCCATTTGAAGAGCAGGTGGGATCACACCTTTGGCAGCATCTGCCATGGAGATCGACTTAAAGCAATTACAGGACTGCAAAACTGAAGTACTGCTTGCTAGGGAGATATCTGGGCTTGTTGTGAGTTCGGGGCAGAGACCATCTCTCGCCTGGGGAATGACCTCATTCTCACACATCAGCGCTTCCTTTCAGCACTTGATCGTCTATAGTTGGGGTTACTTTGTTTGGTTTTTCCTTCCACAAGATACAGGGATTTCCTGCATGATGTTTTCTTTCATGAGCTGCTTACACGTGTTTGTCACTTAACTTTCTTCAGCTTGGGCAGAGAATTGTAGGTAACGTTGATTTTAAAGTTCACACGGGTACATTTATGTTCTCCCTGACATGAACTTTATGCTGTTTTACCTCATTTTTATATTCATGTAATACACAAGTCTCAACTTCCTTTAGTGTAAAGCAGGAAACCAGAAAGGGAGGATGAAGCTCTGCATTTTCTGACACACACACAAAAAAAGGCTGTGTGTTTGAAGTGCCTCCTTTCTCCAGACTATTTGCATGCCTTTAAAAGTGGTTGCTGAGTGTATCTGTAGCCTTCATGGTAGGTGCAGTCAGGTGATGGCAAAGCATGGCTTCATTGAGAAGAACTGACAATTCAGAATAAGCCCAGGGCATTATGTCCCAAAAAAGAGAAATTCTCTTGCAAAGCAACTTGCTGCTGTTTGGCCAAGTCTGTGTCCCACTGAGGTCAGTGATGTAATCTCTATCACAGACATGACCAGTTGCCATGTATAAAAAAGAAGTAGTTTCATGTTTCATGTGCCATTTCCAATGATATGTTGCTCTGAAATTGTGTCAGAATTAAAATGTTACCTAAAGTATTGTCTGAAGTTGAGTTCTCTGAGAATCTTTCCAAGGATTCTTCTTTTTCTTTTTCTTAACGTTTTGCAATATAGGTGAATGATTTTGTAATAGCTTTCTCTTACATCTGATTTTCAGGAGGCAAAATCCATCAAGAAATTACCTACCTTGATTCACTCTGGATTAATGGCTGTTTATGGCACAGTTGTTTTGAATCAGATAGTTCTCTTTTTGGGAACAGATGATGGACAGTTACTGAAGGTAAGCTGAGTATGACAGTTCTTCCCTTCTCCATCAACTGCTGCTGTGTTCAAGTGGGTAACTGTTTCCTGGTTTAGGCACTGTATTATAAACAGATATAATCCCCTGAATATCTATTTCTTTTTTTGTTTTGCTTGTGAAGTAACTGCTGTATTGCTACTTGGAGAGCAAGATAACTTTCAAAAGCAATTATGTGCGCTGCTTAAAATTCATGGAAACATTTCATTAAACTGCTAATTCCCACAGCATCAATTTATGGACTGTGGAGTTCTCAGTTACGGTGTCTTTTGTTTCCTTCCTTGCTTTGATTTTCCAGTAGCAATATTAAATATTGTTAGATTTTGGAAGCATATTTATTTGTTTATTAGCCTATCTGTGTGATGTGAATAGCTGTCCATTAGAGAGAAAAGTCAAGATTCATTTTTGCCTTAGCTTCTGAATAGTTGACTTACGGTAGCTTAAATCAGTCACCTGGAAGTGAGACTCATCTTATCTCATTATCAAACTTTTCAACCATCCAGTCAAATGTCTTTTATGCTTTCATTTTTTTCTGCGTTTTGCAAGAATGCGCATTTCCTGTCTACAGTGCAAAGGATGACTCTCATTTTTTGTTTTTATTGAGCAGGCAGTTGGAGAGGAGTATAGTAGAGAGCTTGAAGAGCTTTTCCCCATTGTGTTTCACTGTGCTTTTGATAATGAAAAAAGAAGTTGAAGTCTTCCGTGTCTCCTTAGCACAGTGGAGACACCATGAACATATCTCCCTTGTTTAGTCATGTTTATGGAAAACCTTATATCATTGTTGGTGTGCTTATTAACTTGCAAAATAAAGTTGCTGTGGTCTCTGGTTCTCTTGAGTTCTGTGCCAAGGGTGGTGGAAAACTGTAGAGTTGGGCAAGGTAAGAAAAAGAAATACCACCTCAGACGTATACTCACAGAAGCCACAAAGAAACTTCTGTCCTGAAGACAGTTGTCAGTAACTTGCATAGGTTCCTTTTTACATTATGGGTGTCTGGATGTTAATTTGTTTTCTGAAGGCTAATACTTTCTTCTCCGTTCATAGGAGTACTTAACACATTATGACTTTGGGATATAGGTGTCTCTTCCACATTCAGTTTCTCTGTCGGTCAGGAACATAGTTGGTGGGAGGGAAGTTTCATACATTAAACCAGTGCCAGATGCAGTGCAGAATGTGTCTGGCATGGATTTTGTTGAAATTCTGTTCTGGTGGTCTTTTCCTCCATCTTTCTGCAGTGTGAGAGCTAGTGCAGCAGGTGAATTGAATCAGGGCACAGTAAATCATCTCAGAAGCTCTGATGTAGCTGAAATTAGGCTTTTGTTTAAAATGCTGACTGATCAATGAAAGGACTTGTGAATAATTTAATTTCATGTGTTTTAGGCTATTCTTAATGAGGATATGGAATCTAATTGCCCAGAGGTTTTATATGAAATTAAGGAAGAAACCTCCATTTTCCCCAAACTTCGACTTGATCCAGTAGATAACAACTACATCTATCTGTCCTCTGCCAATAAGGTAAGCACAATATTAAATAAAATAATAAATTCAAGTAAACTACTGCTTTAAGGATTTCTGCCACTTTATAAGTGAAGCATCAGTTTGGGTAAGAGCTAGACCTTAAATATCCAAACTGCAGTTACCAACTTTACATCTAATATCTGGCTATGTTGTCTAAGTTTGGACTACACTTCTGCAGAGCTCAGAAGAGCTTCCACTGTCATGGTGCTGCCCACTGTAGCTATGATCCAGCAACACCCTTAATCCCATACTTATTTTAAGCCGTTCTGTCAAGAGGGTCTTTGTTTCTCTTTTTTCCTGGAGGCATCATGCAGAATCAAGCCTGGAGCTAGCAAACTTGTATACTCTTTGGAGATGGAGTTCCTCTGAATTAGCAATCCAGGTATTGGTAGGCCAGGGTTTGCTAGTCAGTTATGGAGTTTCTAATGTGGAGAAATCTCTTAACCGGAGAAATGGGTTTGAAGTCTTAGTTCTGCTGAAATCAATGATAAAATTCTCTTTGTCTTCAGTTAGGCATAGACTTTAAAAAAAACTCCAACAAAACAAAAACGCAATCAGAAGTCATTAATGGGTGTGCATAGTGAGGCCGAAGAGTTCAGCAATCACTGGGAGCTACTGGATGTGAACGAATGCGTCAGCGGTGCATGCCAAGCAGAGAGCAGCTCCCAGGAGCCGGCGCAGTTGTTGCAGCACATCCTGCAGCAGGGCTACTGAGCATCAACTCAGCAAATTTTTTTGTCTCGCCAGCAGTAGGGAAGATGGCAGTGAAAACATAAGGGCTGGTTGTCCATCTTAGCTGGACAGGATTTCACCCAGCACTTGATTACCTTCATTTACAATAAAATCACTTTTCCAGCAGTAAAGATAGCATTTTAGCCTGCTGTCTGGGAGAGTGTGGAAGGTGGTAGAACTCCTGACTGATATAAACCATGTATCACAAATGCAGAAGGAATCAAAATTAAAGTCAAAAGTATATGTAGATATTCAAAGTAAAGACTTGAATTTTCTTTAGCTTTGGTAAAAGCTAAAGCTTTTTTTTTGTAGAGGAACAACAGCTTTTAGGAATAAATGCCTCTGATCATCTCTTCGAGCTTAAATAAGGCTTCTGCACTGTCTTTCTTAACTGGCTAGTAGTCTGTGATGTTGGCTGGTTTCTGATTATCTCACACACCTTCAAATAAATTGCATTTTGCAAGATATGGCTGGAAAAAACAGTAAATACAGTTCTGCAGGAAGCCGCGTATCCTTGTTTCTGTTCACAAAATAGGAACTTTTAATTCTTGCAAATTTGTAAAAAATGGTTTGAATTAGGAATATTTTTCTTACTGATATTATTAATTAACATTGTTATTGATAACATTATTTGTATTTGTATTCAGTATTTGTAATCAGCTTTCTCTTTTTCTTTTTCCTTTCCTTTTCTGAAAATGGCCGGCTAGGATATTCAAGCTGAATGTACAAGTATAGCTGCATACAATATAGCCACAATTATCTACATTTACTTATTGAAATGGCATCTTCATGCATGCTAAGTAGTTGCATGCGTTTGTTCTAGTGTGCACATGCAGTAACCTGACATGGTGATGCAAACACAGATGCATTTTGTTTTGCGCATGCATTTTTGGATGTACCTTCATCAATCATTTAAAAATCTCCGTTCTGATGAGAGGAAAATGGTGTTCTGCTAAACAGAGCATTATTTGTAAAATATACCTCCTTTCTATTGTTATCTATAATTCACTATGCTAATCAGTCTTTCTTGCATTAATCTGCCCATGCTGGCCTTTGAGTAGTCAAACCAAATTGTCATTGTCAGAGGCGTTTCATTATCTGATGGCAAAATACAGCGTGTCTGAAATAGGCTGCATATTTCTATCCAAAGGTGTTCTGGCAGAGGGGAGTCCATAGGAAAACTTTCCTGAAGGGATCGTGCTTGGTTGCTGTCAGATTTTTAATGGTCACCCTCAATTTCCCTGTTTATGGAGGCTATTTTAATTTGGTGTGTTATTGCATTCTTTGGTTTTAGGTGAGAAGAATACCAGTTGCAAACTGTGGTAGATACGTTTCTGAGCAAGAATGCTTATCTGCAAAGGATCCCTACTGTGGGTGGTGTTCTTTGAATCAAAGGTATTTTTTTGTATTTTAGACTTTCATATAAACGCAATGCATTATTAGTCAGTGTACATTTTGACTGGCTTGGAGCTATTCAGCATCAAGATTGTATCTACTGAATTTTTATGGAATCAGTCATAGCCATAAATGTGAGACACTTTACTGTCATGTGAAAGGGAGCTCTGCGCCTTTTAAAGACCATGTTAACCCTCAGTTTTTTGAGATCTACCCATAAAACATATGTTGGGCTAAGACGGAGAAACTATTTTGGTTTTAGAACAGATGTTTTTGCTTTCCAGATTGATTGAGAGAGAAAATTATATACTTGTGCTTCAAGCATCTTAATAGCTGGGAGCATCTTCATGTGAGAACGAGGAAAGACTGCTCAGTTGCCTTCAGTATTCATATTTCCTTGCTTTGGAACCACTGCCTTCAGTTTAGGCCAGAGGACAATTTCTTTCTAAACACTTCACCCTCACACTTGCGTCATTAGTTCTGCTGCTTTCTCTGAAGCAGGTTTGAAAGCTATTGTATGTCTTTGGCCTGGACTGGAGAAATTCCTGGGTCATCAAGCCTGGTCTTGCAATTGCAAGCAACCACATCATGTAAACCTACTCATAAACTAATCAAGGACCATCCTAAATTTAGATAGGTTTTTTGTCCTCCCTGCCCTCATTGTGTGGCTATCAGAAAGTCTCATTTTTCTGCAGGTTAAAATTGGTCTGCTCATTTTCATCACATGAGTGTTCATGGACAGGTTATACTCATTTGTTCTGGTGCTCACGTTGCCTTGGCTTAAATAGGTTTTCCCCCTCCCTCACACTTATCTCCTCAATGTTTTTGTGAAAGCAGTCTCTTTTTTCACTTTCATTTTGGTGTGCTAAAACAGCTAACGTCACTAAGATCCTCTCACATAAGATACTCCTTTCTTAACTCCGCTCCAGTAGCCCTTCTGTGAAGTTTGTGCATCCTGTTAAAATAAGGATGGCCAGGACTGTCACAGTATTCCAGAGATTTCAGCTGTACCTGCTCAATGGTGTTTAATCAGTCTGTCCAGGAAGCACCTTACTTAGTGTGTCCTGGGATCACAAACGTCTTTTTCATGACAGCATCACATTGATGGGCCACAATCATACATGATCAAATAATGCCCCCAGGTCCTTCCCTTCCTTTGTTTTCTTTCCAACTGATGAGTTTCCAGTCTATAACACGTATGGGTTGTGAGATTTTTATTGCTCTAGGTACATGTTCTTGTACTTTATGCTTTGAAATGTCATCCCATTTCAAGGTTATCCAAGTTTTCCCGTGTGATATTCTCATCTTCCTCTGCACGGTAATGTTCCCAACTTTGTATCATCAGTGGATGTTGACAGTGTAAACCTTCTTTTATGCCAGTTCATCAGTGATTAAAACATTGAACAAAAGTGGTTATAAGATTGATTTTTGAGGAATTCCACTAGTAGCCTTCTTTTAGAAGGTTAATACTATCCATTTTGTTTGTTTCAATGTTAATGTGATTTTGCTGAAGACCTGCTACTTTGTGTTTGCAAAGGTAATTATTAGAAGAGAGTAGGTGTTTATTCTGTAATGTGTTTTCTTCAAACTCTTTTGCTACCTTGTTAGAAACTGTATGTGTTACAGTGCTAAGCTTTTCAGGCTTTTAGTTACCTTATGAAGAGTTTGCGAATAACAGTTGTTAGTCAGTAAATCCCCTGTTTATGAGGGGAATCACCGAAAGTTTCCATCTGGTTGAAACAGAAATAATTTACTCTTTTGGAGAAAAAATGAATTACTATAATGTGAATCCCGTTCAACACCCACATAATTTTTCACTGTTAAGCACTTAGCATCATTCAATATTTGGTTTTGTGAAGAGAGCTCTGAGTGAAGCTTTAGAAAAAGAGGAAGATATAGTTTTAGGCAGTATTTTAATCAAAGTCCATACATGTCCACTAAAGCAATATATTCCATAGCAATTTTGAGATTGATGATATGTTTTATACTCTTACTGGGAAATAAATTTTATATTAAATTTGCACTTCATTTTTTAAACAAAACTTACCAGCAGTGCTTAATTTTAAAGAGGGTGAACTCAAATCCAGTATTTTGATGAAAAAACCTGCACATCTTATTGCAAGTGAAAACAAAGTGAAACAAAATGTTTCTACTGTTCCTATTTCTACTCTTTCTTCCATAGGGGAAGATATATAAATTCTCCTTTTCATTCACAATCATTCAAAACAATTAGTCATAGCCTTGTGTGATTTCTCTTAGTGTTTACAGATTTTCTATAGATGAATCAGATTTACCTGAAGTATGCTGAAATTATTCCAATACAAGGCACTGGTGTTTTACATGTGTTTTCCGTATGGAAATAACACTCTATGTCTTAGTTATCCGACATGACCAGACTTACTTTTGAATTTGGTCGGTGTGTGTGACAACTGTGGACTTCATTCAGGGGCTGGTAGCTTGGGAAAGGAAGCCAAAACTTTCTCTGAAACCATGTTCTCATGTCATGAGGAAATCGGTATGCTTTAGCGAGGCAGAGAAGGCAAACTCAGTAGGATCTGTAGTTAATACAAGATTAGCGAAGCAGAGACTTAAGTAAATATGAATGAACCAGTATGCAGAGGTATCGTGTTATCATAATGAAATAAGAACTCAATTCCAATTGTGAAGAGGAATCTTTAGCAGTATAAAGAACCAGCTTGCTGTGAAAGATTAAAAAAAAAATCTCGACTCTGCTTTTCTCTGTACACATATCTGTGCATGTCTGAAATCTGATCCTAGGGTTTCATGCCTTATACCTTCATACTTGTATAGGGCCTGGTCCAGTCCACCTTTCCAAGAAAGCCAGACTTAGTAGTTGTCTGAGTCTGTATGTTAATTTTGTGGTTCACAAATAATATTGATCTGTTATATTCAGATATATCTGATATTGACAATATCAATTGTCTAGGGGTTATAGGATATAACTTGGAGTTAATCTAGGGATTGTTCATTAACTGTTAACAGCAGACAGTATTTTAAGGATTCACCTTTCAAACTCAGTGATTGTCCATCAAATTTGTATGCCTATGTTCTCTTTTTCTTATCACATGCTTTTAAAACGTGTAATCTTTGTAATACTTGTATATCCAGTGTTTCCTCATTCTTCCTTACTTTTCTGTTGTGTAGTTTCTGTTGCCTACAATTTGGCATCTATAACATTTGTATTTACTTTGTGCTGTCTTACTTCTGAAATGGATTTTATTCTTGAAGGCAGAGAAATCTATTTCGAACTACCTTACCAAACCTGTTGTTTTTAATGAAGTGCACTGACATAAAAGGGAAAGATTACCATTCACATCAGTGGATGACAGAGGAGATTAGGAAGGAGGATGCATCTCATCAACTATACACACTCGTAGCGTAGCTCTACATCTGAGCTTCACCCCCATCTCCTCTTACGATCTCTGGAGAGAACAAGCAGCTTCTATAGTGTGATTCATTTCATTTTTATATGAATGTCTAAAGTAAGCTAGGTGAATTGCACCCTGAAAGAGT